CTGTGGATGGATCAAAATCAAGCCACCAAACACTCTTGGCAACATTCCAGGATTTCCGAGACCCCCAAAGGTTCTCCTGGCATCTCTGGACATCTGGAACGATGTGCTGAGTTCCCACAATGGACAGCAATGGAAACTTCTACCAAGGTACACTACTATTGCAATTGGCTGCTCACTGCAGTCCCAACTTTGCATTTTCAACAGAGAAAATGTGGATAGCTCCTGGTCCAAGCAGCCAATCTGTCCAACACCAGGTGAGTGGATTTCTTAAACCTGAAGATAATGTTGGGAACAGTTCAGATCCTATGGGCTTGACTATTCTACACACCCTCTTCTCCACTGCACCAAATGCTATCTTCCAGGAGCAGGGCAGGGAGATAAGTACATTGTTCAGGGCAGCTGAGTAATTTTACCTACCTCAGTAATATGCTAAAATCCTCACCTAAGGAAAATGGGAGCACCTGCCATGCCTGGGATGCTGGGGAGAACAGACCCAGCTGCAGGGTCTGGGGACATTTCCTTTGGCTGCCATTATTGCTCAAGCAGTTGAGCTGGCAGTGCTGTTTTCTGAGGTCATTTTTAGAAGCCAACAGAAGTCTCAGTTCTGGACAAGGGTTTAGGAGATCCTGGGGTAATTTTGTGTAAGTCCACAGTTGCATTTTGTAGAAGTGTTGGTGTTGGCAGCTTTTCCCAAGGGAGCTGCTGGGAGATGCTGTTGTGAGGACAGCTGGAATGTGCTGGCTGCTCCCATGGCATGCAGAAGTGTGGAAAGCTGTGCCACATGAGAGAAATTTCTAGAGGTGAGCTCCAAGGTCTGGAAAGCAGCCTGTGGGTGTGGGTGTAAGAGCTTATTGAAATGTAATGTGCTGGATAAGCCCTGATCATCTAACCCCAGTGAAACTGGGGCAGAGGAGACCCCTCATTAGACACCTCCCTCCCATCACCCATTTTTTATCATTCCATCTTTCCAATACTCCTGAGCTGTTACTGCTCTTGCCTCCTGGTACTGATAAGCAGTGGGAAGAGACAGAAAGCAGGGAAAGGCATGGAAAGTGGCTTTTTTTGGGAACACCCACCATGTAGGGAACGTGCTCTGTGTGGGACCTGCCATGTGAGTGCTGCTTAGCAGGGCTAACCAAGCTGGCCTCTGTGACTCTGAGCTTGTTTGTGCCACATTTGTGTTTTCTCCACATTGGTCTAACCACTGGGATTAGTGGAAAGCTCATTTTCTTTAATGTGCAGTTTCTGACAAAATTAATATCTTTGTGGGAGTAATTTTGCTTTCTTCAGAAACAACTATTTTACACTGGAAAGTTTGGGAATCAAAAAGATTTGCCAGCAAACCAAAAAATTCCCACTGTTTTTCTAAACTATTAATGAAGAGGGGAAGAAAGAAATTGAAATCTGCTCAATGTCTGGATTTGGGTTTCACTTAGAAGTTGGTATTGGACAAGACTGCCTTACAGTTTGCCAGATGCTGGCAGTCTGTGCTGAAAAACCACCACAGCTCCCAAGGGCTGGGCTGACACTTTTACTGTTGTTACACCTGCTGTGTGCTTGCTGGAGTGTACTTGTCACATGTTTCACCACACAACTCACCTGGCAGTGTGGGCAAACCATGACTGCAGCCCACAAGAGAGTAAAAAAACCATCCCAGGAATGATAGAAATCACAACGTTTTGGCAAAAACCAAAAACCACCACCAACAACAAAAAACCATCACCACCACCAACAACAAAACAAAAAAAAAAAAACCCAAATCCAAAACAAAAAACACCAAACCAAAACCCAAACCAAATTTTAACCCACCAGCTTTCAGGGTTTGGATTCTTTTTGCCTGAGCAGGAGGACATACATCTGTTTTAAATCCTGTTCAGAAAGCAATGTCAAGATATATTTTGTAACATATGAAGATGCTTACACAGATGTTCACTGAGAGTCAACTGGCACCAGGTGCTGAAAACCAGATTGTTGTTGCTTTTGTCTCTGTGTGGAAAATGCCCCTAATCCCCTTCTTGACATGATAAAAATACAATAACCTTGTTTGCAAGATCTCATGCAAATTTTGTCCTGCTCCTTGGGAAATCTTGGTGCTTCTGCATTCTGCAATGAATTAAAGAACAGATCCAGGTGCTACTGATGTTGCCACGATGCAACCAAGATATGTTTGATGCTTTTTTCAGGTTTTTTTTTTTTTGTTTGTTTTGATCTAGAGTCTCTCTTGCTAAGTAAATTTGCCATCCTGCAGAAGGGAACAGTAACTTGCAGAAGTGTGTCTGGTCCCCAGCCAGGCTGATGGAATGTTTGCAAAGGGAAGTTTCTGTGAGGGTGAGAGGAAGGAAAATGAAAACATTTCATGTCAGAAAAACTGTGAAAGAAGGAAAGCCTCTGGAGGAGAGACTTGATTTGAGTAAAGGAAATTAGGGATACAAGAACTGGACAGTATTACTAATTTCTCCAAGAGAGAACTTCTCCACTTTGTGTCAGCTCAAGGATTTCCCAGCAGCTTTCCAAAGAAAACCCAGATACCTCTGGAAATGACACCAGTGCTTTAGTGCTCCTGTGGGCAAGCTCTGGCAGATTTAACTGCTGTGATTTAAAACATGGCTGTCCCAGATGTTTGCCTTGCTTGCTGACTGGAAATTACTGCCTTGGAGGAGGATGTGGCATGTGCTAGGGTCTCAGAGCTCGAGTTTACAGGCTGGAGAAGAAAACTGCATTTGCAGGTTTTTGAGCTGACACAATGGGCCATGTACTGAGCTGTGGCATCAGTTTGTGGCCAGTGCTGCCATCCCTTGTGTTGGGTAATCTCTGCTGAGAGTTGGGAGCCAGGCAGGGAACAACAGCTTGGATCAGTGCAGATAAATCTGTCTGACCTGTCTGTCAAACGCTGCTCTCTGAGATGCAGGCACTCCAAAGCTGAGGCTCTGTGGGCCAGGCACTGGGCAGTGCTGGCCTTGGGCTGGGTGAAGATGTTGCACCCTGAGCTGCAGCACCCAGAGGCTGTGCAGGACAAGGCACAGGACAGCACTCGGGGCTGTCAGAGCTGGGACCCTTGGCTGCCAATTCAGCCATATTTTAAAGTGGATTTTAGCTCTTTACACGTACACAGCAAATTCTCTGCTCACGATTTCGGAATCTCTTTTACAATCAGTGAAGACTGACTCTAAAATTCCAATATGTGTACCCCCAGAGCAGACATCTGAAATAGGTGAGACAAAGCATGGTTTGAAAATGCCTATATTTCTTCACTGGTGCTAAGGAAAAGCTAGGATTTCTCACCTTAATTCCGAAGTTAAATTGAACAAATCATATGTTTTGTGTCCAATTTTCTGAACACTTTATGTAATTCTGTGGTTTGCATCCTCAGAAACCAAGGCTGAATTTTCATACCAAGACAAGATTTACCAGCAGTGCATTTTCATTTTTGTAGCAATATTTGTGCTAATAATAATAAAATAATTATAAAATTTATGTATATGATTTAAAAAACTGATTAGCAAGTGGAAGAAAAAAAAGAACCAAGATAGTAGACCAGTCCACTGAATTACAAAAAATTTAGATTTCTGAAGGAGGAAAAAAAAATGATTCCTTTTATAAGATATGCTGTACACAGAAAAAAAGTAATACTAAGTGTTGTCAATTCCACTTTACTGTGCACTTCTATGCACCAAGGATGGCTGCACGTGTTTAAGGATATAGTAATTTCTGTAGCTAGGCCTGCTTATGTAGAACTTGGGGGTGTATTTGCTATTTAAATGGAAAATAGTATTGTAATGCTTAAAAGCTCTGTTGTGCAAGCTGTTTCTGTATTTGAAGTTCTGTGTTGCTTATCTTGAGATCCAGGTTGATGTTAAAACATGTTGCATGGAAGTTCTGCCTACTTCCACTTGAACACAAACGGGCAAATATTCAGTGAAAGAAAAAGGATTTTGTGCTTGCAAATTATACTAAATTGGGAAGGAAAATAGTGCAAATCGAGATGACTTGTGAGAACAGAACTTTTGCAAAACAGACACAGAGAAATGAGGCAGAGGCGCTCCTGAAAAACTAACGAAGACTTTTGGTTTTTTTTTTTTTTTGGTTTTTTTTTTTTTTTTTTAATGCTGTTTGGTTTGTGATGGTTTGTTTAGGCTGAGAAGTTGATTAAAAATAAAAGGACGCTGTTTTGGTACAAAACTGCGGGTGTGGCTCAGTGAACTCGGCCGGACAGGGCAAGGGGATCCGAGCCCCGCTGCGGTTCGCTCCCCACGCCGCGCAGAGCTGCGGACGGGCGGCGCTCGGGCCGGGCAGCGGCAGCTCCGCGCTCCGGCCGCGCCCCCTGCGCACCGGCGGAGCCGCGCAAACCCTGCCCGGGGAGCTGAACAGAGCCGTGCAAACCCTGCCCGGGGAGCGGGGCAGAACAGCGCAAACCCTGCCCGAGCACCGGGCAGAGCTGCGCAAACCTTGCCCGGGGAGCGGGGCAGAGCCGCGCAAACCCTGCCCGAGCAGCGGGGCAGAGCTGTGCTAACCCTGCTTGGAGAGCGGGGCAGAGCTGTACAAACCCTGCCCGGGGACAGAGCCGCGCAAACCCTGCTCGGAGAGGTGGGCAGAGCTCTGCAAACCCTGCCCGGGAGCGGGACAGAGCTGTGCAAACCCTGCCCGGGGACAGAGCCGTGCAAACCCTGCCCGAGCAGCGGGGCAGAGCCGTGCAAACCCTGCCCGGGGACAGAGCCGTGCAAACCCTGCTCGGGGAGCGGGGCAGAGCTGCGCCTGCCCGTGGCTCTCCTTGCGCATCCCCTGCAGGCAGAGTTTGCTCGACTAGTTGAACTGGCTCTTTCTGTCTCGTATTTTTGGCAAACTAAGAATTTCCTTCCTGATAAAAATGAACGGCGGGCGCCCCGATTGGGCGTCGCGCTGGGGAGGATGTGACATCAGGCACATCTCTCGCTCGGCTGGGTCGCTGGCTGCTGAGCAGGGCAGCCCGGGAGCTGTTGCGGTAAATCCCAGCCCAGGTGCTCGGGTTTCTGCCCAGGGAGCTGCCGGCACCACGTCCCGGCCGCCGCAAGGGCTGCTCGGCTCATGCGGGCACAGCCTGCGCCAGGGACCGCTCCGGCCGCTGGGGGCTCGCCAGGAACGATGGAATTTGAACTCTGGAAACCGAGCACAAAGTGAAAAAACAGCGCTGGGGCAGACAGGGCTGAGATGGACGATGAGAGAACAGATCAAAATGCCAGCAAACTGCACGGAGCTGCGGGCCAGGCATGTGCAGCGCCGCCGGGTACCCCGCGGATGAGGGGTAAGTGACGCTCCTTGGGGACAGACAGGGCTCTGCCCTGCCCGAGGCACCCAGGGACACGGCCAGGCTGCGGGGCTGCTGCTCCTGTGTCCTGCTTCGGGACAGGAGCTCAGTCCGCCCCACAAAACACCCCCATGCCTTTGTACTTCTGAGGGGATTTTAAAAAGCTGTTTCTGTTTGATACTGAAATTTTGGTTGTTTTTCTTTCGTATCACAGAAAAGAGTGGTTGGTTTTGTACTTCATTTTGTGCAGGCAGAAACAAATGCAGCACTTGGAACGCAGCACACTGAGAAATAAGTTGAAATGTGGCGTGTTTGACTTAAATTAGTGCCAGCAGGAAGTTCAGCACTGGCTCAATTTCTCCTTTTCTCCTTTTCTCCTTTTCTCCTTTTCTCCTTTTCTCCTTTTCTCCTTTTCTCCTTTCTCCTTTTTCTTTTTCTCTTTTTCTTTTTCTTTTTCTTTTTCTTTCTTTTTTCTTCTTTTTCTTCTTTTTCTTTGTTTCCATTCCCTTCCTCCTTACTTTCCTTCTTTCTTTTCTCCTTTCTTTTGATTATTTTAATTTTTGCTTTTCATTTTTGTCTTCTCGTTCTTCTTTTTTTTCTCTTTATCTTTTATCCTTTCCCCTTGTCTTTCAGATGAACAGACCTAAGTGTTGTTTAGGCTGAGCCTAGTGGGTTCTTCTGCAGTGGCATTGCTGTGACCAGTGCTGTTGTGGGCACATAATAGTGAGCAGTTACTCAGACCTCACTCCAGTCATTGCTCTGTGTCTGGCCCAGAGCCATTGAAAATATGACATGGTAAGAAAAGACAAGTAATTTAACTTCATATCCTGAGCTGGATGTGTTCAATGTGGCTCTGTTTCTCCTTCATCTAATAGCGAGTGCAGATGGAATGAGGTAAATTCAGAAAATGTGACTTTACGCTGTCCTTGCTCCTTTTCTGGGCTGTTCAGGATGTTTCCATTAATACCAAGTTGAAAATTAGGACCATAAAACCAAAATGCAAGGCTGACCACTCTATCTGCAGTGTAGTCTGCCTGCCCTCGTGTGTGCCACGTATGTATAGCCTGAGGCTGGGGTGAGCAGGAAGGCACAGCAATATTATTATTAACAGTGTGAAATAGAACTAGTCCACACTGGAGATGAGCTCCAGCAAAATGGAGGGTGGAAGGGCGGAATCCCACATGGCACAGTGCTGCACACATATCATTTGGTCCTTTGAAAATCAAAGTTTAGTCCATTCCTTTCATGTCTGCCTGTTCCTTAGCAGAGTCAGTAAGCTCTGCTGGCAATTTCCAGCGGGAATGTATTTGGCTCAGGCTATGTATATCACAAACTTTAGGGACAGCCTTTGGGTATGAAAAATACCATTTGTAATACTGTTCTTTATAATGCTTTAGGATTTTGTATCTGCAAATATGAATGCACGAGCATACCTTCACTGGAAGGACTTAAGAGCCCCTTTCAAGTTGCACTGTGCGTGAGAGGCATGGGAGGAAAGCAGCCTAGGGACAGGCATGGAAGGTGGAATGCCCTCACATGGTCAGAGGTTGGGAAAAGTTGCTTCAGCCATCACCACTAACAGCAGTGCTCTAGAAAGGTCCTGAGAGAGCTCTGTTGTGCACAGGGAGCAGTCAGAATTTGTATGTGTGCATGGTGATTGCTATGAGATTCCCTCTGTGTACACCACCCTGCCAGTGTCACGTGCCTGAGTGATGGCAATGCCATCAAATATGTCCAGAGTTTAATGTAACCCTGGGCTGGCTGGAGTTTTCTGTAGTGGAAGGGGAGCTAGGTGACCCAAAGCCACTGGAAGCCAGTGGGATTTGGATATCTAGATGCCGAACTCCTGGGGTCTGACTCAGCCTCCCTGTGGACTAAGGTGTGGGTAAATTTTAAATGTGGACAAATCATCTTGTTTCTTTGTGAAAGAGCAGTTGTACCTGTTTTTGACAGTCAGGAATCCTTGTTGCAGTGGTGGTACATACAATGAACAGCTGTGTCCCCCACACACACTGGCCTTGCTACTCCATATGCAGCTCTGGTGGCAGAGTGTCTGGGCACATTAATGAAAGTCACTAGATCAGGATTTTGAAAGCCCATGGTCAGCTGGAATTGACATTTGCTTAGGTCTTAATCAAATACAATACAGATCTTTTATATGCTGACAGTGTGCCTCCTCTGAAGTGTAAAAGAGGGCAGTGAGACAAGGAAATCCACTGCAGCCTTTCTCCTCTTCCAGGCAAGAAAGTTGAGTTCCAGCCTCGAGCAGGCAGAAAATAGAAATATGGTTATTTGCCAGGAGGTGATGCCTTGGGTCAAGAAACTGGGGAAATTTGCCATTCCTTCCCGGGGGTTTGCCTCCCTGGCATTGCTTCAGGTTAGAGGTGCTGGCTGCAGATGGAGGTAGGGCAGGAGAGACATCAGCCTGGGGCTGTGCAGTTCATGGCAGCAGATGTGGAATTATGCCATCACAATTAGTCATCAGTCAGGCCTTCAATCCTGCTCCTCCCAAGGGATCCAAGGCTGGTGTGATGGGCTCCCTAGGGCTCCACTTCCACCTAGGGTAAAACTCTAGGTTTCTCTCAATTACAGAACTCCCAGATGGATTATGTGTTAGCACAGATCTCTTTTATTTTTCACTGACATGTATTTTTAGTGCTTATATGGTCAATCTTTTAATTCATTGTTAAAACTTGGAAACTTGCAAGCCAGTGGCCAGTCCACAGATGGCTGATCTGGCTCTTTTTAGAGTTTCAGCAGAAAGCTGTCTTTTCTCAAGCAAGGACTGAATGGATAAGATCCACACATGGACATGTCCCTCTTATGTCATCATGACACGATGCTATCATAAGTTGGTACAATGCACAGGTTGGTACAGGCACAAACACCTGCCAATATTTGTGGGGCCAAAGAAAGTTCAAGTTGCAGCTCAAAAAACTTGTACTTCAATCTAAATTTTTAGAATATCTATAAATATACTTCTGTTACAATCATGCCGTTTAGCCAATGGCATTTGTTGCTAAATGGGAAAAGCTTTTTACATACCCTGGGAACACAACTGACTGTAACACAGGCAGGACCAGCAAGAACAGCACAGTCAGATAAGCATCAATTTGACACACATCACTTAGAGCAAAGCTGGTTTAGTCAGTTAATCATTGCATGCTTTAATAATTGTAGCTCAGTTTTGCTGTCCTTATAAACCAGAACCACAGCTTCCAGAATTGGCTGTCCATCCTTTGCTAAAGCCAAAGGATGTTTGGAAACCTCATGAAACTGTGTAAATGTTGTGGGATGCAGCCCATGGAGAACATAGAAGGAGGCAGGCAGAGCTCAAATAATGCTAATAACAGAGAATAGTGGTTTCTTTAAAAACTAATTCATAGACTCATAGCCAGGTTTAGATTGGAAGGGACCTTTAAAGGTTGTCTAATCCAACACCCCTGCAATGAGCAGGAGCACCTTCCATTAGACCAGGTTGCTCAGGGTCCCAACTTAACCTTGAATCTTTCCACAGATGAGACATCTCCCACCTCTCTAGGCAACCTGTTCCATTATTTCACACCACCACATTTTCATGTCTGGCCTAAATAAACCTTCTTTTCATTTAAAACCTGTATGATCATCAGCTAATGTGTAAACATCCTTTTAAAGAATTGTAGTGGCTTATTAGGGTTTTTTTGCTGAAGGCAGACTTGCTGCTGTTAAGGATTCCATTCCATGCATGTGCTCTAATATGGTTCCTGAGAACCTCAGCAACTCGGCCAGCAAATTGGTCACTGGAGTATTCTCTGTAGCTGGTGGAAGGAGAGTGGGACATCTCCAGAGAACAGCAAAATGTCTTTCCACAGGAAGCTGTGTGAAGTGTTCTCTGTAAAGGCTTCGCTTCCTTCCCAGGGGGAATCTGGGACATCGACATAGAGCAGACACTGGGTTTTGAGTGCTGGGATGTAAATGTCTCTCAGAGGGGTTATTGCTGTCAGCTGGCTCTGAGCCATAAAATCTGTAATATGGAAAATCTCCCTCTATTAAAATTTGCACAGTATATACATGCTGTACCTCACTTGGTGGTTTCAGCAATGCAGAGAACACAGCTATTACTTAAAATGCACCACTCATAGCAAACACTGAAAACTGAAAGACAGAATGAACAGGTAGCACAATTTGTCTCCTTGTACTTTGGTCCCTTCTCTTGCCAAGTGTTGTTGGCTCTAGTCCAGCTCTGAGCAGGGGTAAATGACTGATCAGCCAAACCCTCTTCAAAACATATTCCTTTTGAGATAATTGGTAAAATGCAATAAGTTTGTGGGGAAAAAAAAGGCCCTGGAAATAATTCAGAGAGAGGGACAAGCTCAGCCAGAGCCAGGTGATGTTCTGCAAATCCCTCTCCTGTCTTCTGGAGGGGAGTGCAGCTGCACAGTGCAAACATGGGATGAGTTAAAATGCACCCAGAGGGAAACCATCTCCATGTCTGTCTCCCTCACAGCATCTGCTCCAGAGAAATCTTGGCAGCTCCAATAAAGTAGAAGGGAGGTCACACAGTTGAAGTAAAGTATGGTAGTGAAATAGAGTTTTTAGCCTTTTTCCTGACTTTGTTTTTGTACAGACTTTGTTTCAGACTGGTCTCCTTTACATGAGGCCTCTATCCATGGGCGTCTGCTTTCCCTGAAGAGGCTCATTGAACAGGTACCTCTCTCCTGGGTTCATGTGGTCTCTGCAGGGTTTGTTCAGTGGATGAATGCCCTCTGTGCTCTACTGTGAAATTTCAGGGTGAGAGAATCATGTTAACCAGGCCACAGTGAAATCTGCATGCAACAGGCTTTTCTTTCCTACAGTCAGTTCCTTGCCCAGCACAAGCTTTGTGCACTACTTTGATGATGTACTGAGCTATCCAGGGTGATATGTTAACTGTGGCAGAGGTAATGGGATCACTGGGATCTCTGGATGGCTGAGGGCAGCTCCTCTGCACCTCCTGTGTGTGCCTGTGAGCAGTTTTGGTGCCCCAGCTGAGGGGCCAGCTCTGGACCCAGTCATGGGTCTGCCTGAGGCTTCAATTCAGTCACCAGACATTTGTTTCTGAAGTGCCTGAGCATATCTCAGGGCCCTGGTCCCTCCACAAGGTCAGGGATAGGTAGAAATGATTTCTGAACCTCACCACTTTGTTTCTTCAAAATCCCTGGGTTTAACCTGTGAAGGAGGTAATGGAAAGGGAAGGGGTGTTGGAGACTCTTCCAGCTTAGTCTTCTGGAGCACCAAGATTGTTAGAAACAAAAGATCCTGTGGAATCCAACCAATGTTTCTGATGCATTTCTTCCCTTCGGTGGTTGCCTCAAGGCAAAGAGCAGAAAATACTTCAAGAGCATTTCAGGGTTCAAGCCAGTCTAAGAACCACAACATACTGTCCCACTGGACAGTCCACTAAGCTTCTGTGTTGGTTTTCAGGGTGTGCAAGCATGGCCTCAGGTATGCTGTGCCAGTATCCACTCCAGCCAAAGCATCACAGCCTCTTCATCCCCTTCAGCTGCTTACTTGCTGAGAGGAATAGCTCCAGGCAGCTGGGGAAGGTCTGGTTACATAACGCTTTTAAAGAAGGGTTTTTTTTAATTGTGGATTTTGTATGGGGGTTTTAGTAGTTGGTTGTAATGATATTTTCCATTATCTTGTCAGGGGAATGATGTCAATCTTGTTACAGCAGACCAGGTGTCTCCTCTCCATGAAGCCTGCCTGGGGGGTCATGCTGCCTGTGCCAGTGTCCTGTTAAAACATGGTGCTCAGGTGAGCAGGGGATGGACACACCACTGTCTCCAGTGTTAGGATGTTGCATGTGATGTCATGGCAGAGTATCTCTGTGATTTACACTCTGTACTTAGCTCTGCTTGAGCTACTTCTGAAAGGCACTTCCTAATAAAGCAATCCAAAAAGCAAAGATATAAGCAGCAGTTATTAATGTTCTTTAGGTGAGGATGAAATGTTCTCATCTTTCACAAGAACAAGGGGAAGTTCATCTTGCAAAATGTTTATAATCCTGCAGCAGTTAAGGATGTGTTTTGTTTTATGCATATATTAATCTTATTGGTATCAATATGCAGTCTAAAGTAGAAGCATAGGAATGTGACAATCAACTGACAAAAAATGGGAAGAAAATGGAAACAAGATGCAAGTACAATGGTGTAATGGTGTCTCATGGCCACTACTTTTCAAGCTAACTTCAAAATTATAGTGAATAAGAAAATTCATTCATACATACATTACCTTACCAGATATTATCTTTCAATTTGAAATGAAAAAAAAAGAAAATAAGGAAGGATTGCAAACTTTCAGCTAAAATTGGACTGTTTCAGAAGAGGGCTATGGATAGGTGTGTTTCAGCTAAGATAACTGACAAATAGTCATACATTTAGCTTGGTAACTCCTGAGAGACCCTGGAGGGGCCCTGATGATTTTTTTTTTTTTTTTTTTTTTATTTAGTTGGAGAGACTTGGGGGAAATTTAAACAAATATTTTTTAAATGATCATTTTAATGAAAAGTATTAGTCTTCAGAAGCACTGGGGAGTTTTGGCGTGGAATTAAATAAAAAATATTGAAACCCCTATTTTCTGCTGAGAAACTGGTTCATTATCATCAATTCTTAAATACCAAGAAGAAAAAAAGTCTTGCTGGATTTTTGTGTTATTTTCCCCCAGGTGAATGGAGTGACTGTTGACTGGCACACACCACTGTTCAACACCTGTGTCAGTGGCAGTGTGGCTTGCTTGAATTTACTGCTGGAGCATGGAGCCAGCCTACAACCATCCTGTGACCTGGCATCCCCCATCCATGAAGCTGCAAAGAGAGGTAACCCCACAGCATCAGCCTCCTTTCCATGCTGCTAGCAGCCTGTTGAAGTGGAGGAGAGGGATAAAGAAGATCCTTTTCTTGGTTTGGGTCATGTAAAATGCCTTGCTAATTGGTCTCATCATGAGGGGTGCAGTTCTTCCCACCCCTGTTGCTCCTCAAGGGCAGGTCAGCTCAGCTGTCAGATCCTCTGAGTTCACCTGGAAGGGAATGCAGTGTCCAAATCAGCTGCCTGCAACGTGGACATTTCAGGGAGACATCTGGCTAGCTTCAAAAGGAGTGGAGAGAAACATGGAGTGATTCATCTCATCTTCAATAGACATCTGAAATGAGTCAGATAAAATGTGAGGGCTTTAGCCTGTGAGGCTTTAGCCTGCTGTGCTGAATGTGGCTTTTCAGCTCCTGTTTTGCTGGCTGCATCCATTGGAGTGGATGAAAGCTTACACTACCACCTCTTGACAAAACATTGAATCCTTGCCAAACTACACTGCTGCAACAGAGAATTTGCTGAAAAAAAAGTCTGATCTCTGTGAGTTGACTCTTCCTTTATCCCTTTTAAGGTCACGTGCAATGTGTTGAACTCCTTGCATCCCATGGGGTAAATATAGATCACAACGTCAAGCACCTGGGTACTCCACTCTATGTAGCATGTGAGAACCAGCAACTCAACTGTGCCAAGAAGCTGCTTGAGTCAGGTAAAAACAAAAATAAATAATGGTGTACTTTCATTTCCTGCAGCATCTATCTTTGGACTATCTTTGTATCAAAGATTTAGAGGAGCTCCTGCTTTGGGACCAGGAGATGTTTCACTCCTAAGAGCAGCCCTGGTTAAATGTGGTAGCAAGGTGACCAAGAATTCAGCTTGATAGCTCCCAACAAAATGATGGGTGATCCTGGATTTCACATGGCTGATTGTGTCTGGAACAAGCTATTCTTTCCAGTGTCTGTGCATGTGATGCTGTGGTTATTTGAAGTGAACAGGAAGAAATTTAATTTTTAAATTTATTTTTTACCTCCTCTTTACCCAAAACAATTGAGTCAGCCACTTTTATATAGTATTTCTGGAAGCATGTTTTGATTTCCAATGAGGTCATAAAAAGTTGGAGACACTTCCAACACAGAAGAAGGTTCAGCACTATATCCTTTGCATCACACAAACTGTAACTCTAAATGCTTGGGTAATTACAGAAAACCACTTCTTGTTATCCACAGTAGTACAGTTCTTCTAGCCAAAGGGGTCATATAACCTAAAGTAGCTACATAGCTGGTACAAAAATGATGGACCAACAAAGCTACTTTAGAAAAACAAGCAAAAATCATATATATCACATTTTGGTAGGTCATTGTTTAGTACGATGACCTTTTTTTGGGAAGAAGTAAAAATACAAATTAATCTAAATATTTTTAATTTAATCTAAGTTAAATGTTGGCTACTGTTTTCTTTTTCCTGCTATTTTTTCTGCTGCCTCCTGTATATGGGAATGTGTACTCTAAAAACATTATAGTTTTGAATTAGTTCTGCAGCTCACCTTTCTTAGGGTGTTTTAGGAGCCATAAATCCAGGGTAATGAATGGGGGAACTCTCATCGGGGGTGCTTATGCCCTCTTTGACCAAGGACCTCAAGAATTTTTCCATCCTTGCATTTTTCCCCTGACAGATACTTTTTGGAAATCCCACGAGCTTAAGTCTCCAGTACAGAGCATGTTGAAACCCTGCCTTTATTTTAAGGGATGGGAAGCAGAGGTGGTCCATAGGTGGAACTGCACCTTTGTCTTGCTCCAAGATACGCTCGGGCTGGGCTGTGGGTGAAGGATTTCCTCCTGCACCATTCCACTGGGCTCATTTTCTTATGCACAGCCCCACTCCTCAGTCAGTGAGAGCTGTGCTCGTGCAAGTTGTAGCACCAAGCCCCAGCGTAAGGGAGCCCAGGTCTGGGTGCAGGCTACAGCACTTGTGTGTTACTCAGAGAAATAGCAGCTAGTGCAGGGAATGAAAATGGGCCACTGTGCAGTCATGGGGTTCTCATTGCTGTCTGCCCCTCCTGTTCAGGAGCAAACGTGAACAGTGGCAAGGGCCTGGACTCCCCTCTGCACACGGCTGCCAGGAATTGCAGCGTGGAGCTGGTGAAGCTGCTGATGGACTTTGGAGCAGACCTTTGGCTGAAGAATGCTGAAAACAAGAGGCCAGTGGAGCTGGTCCCACCTGGCTGCCCTGTGGGCCAACTGTTCCTGCAGAGAGAAGGTGCCCCTTAGAACTTGTTTTAGGGAAAACCCACACAGACTATTGCACGAGGCTAGGCTATTCCAGGCTGCTGGCACTGGGAAACTGGGAATAAGTGAGCTAACAGTGAACTGACCGTGATAATGATAAGAAAAATAACTCATCCTGAACCTCCAGATTTTTAATCTACTGCATCAGGAAGCAATCATCTTGAGCTTGCCATTTAATGCAAAATAGAGTTTAGGGTGAATAAACAAGCAAAAGATGCCTTAGAAATTAATGGTAGCTTTTTTCATTACCTAAAGCTTTGAATTTAGTGAAAATCTGTCAGTTGCCTTGTGTCAGACAGCAGTAGACCCAGGAGTGTTCCAGGGAGTGTGCTGACAAATGCAGGCAGCAAATCACCTCTGATGGGAATTGAGGCTAGGTAGGGAGGATGAGGTTTGGGATCTCTGGGTATACAGTAGATGGTCAGGTTTGTCTCAGCACAAATACACAAATGCAGATTTGCAATCCAAAAAAAATTAATGCACGTAATACTAAAAAAAGGTATATTGAACATCGTTTTTAATTCTTTGTCCTTTACTTTTATTCTTGGGCCAAGCTTTTACATAGATGCAGAAATATCTTTAAAATGAAAGGCTACATGATTTTTTTTATATTAAGGAAAATTGCACAGGAGCTATATAAGGGATTATATATTTATATTCATTTATACACTTGACTTTCTCTAAAGACCAACCTTATGTGCTGAATAATAACAGCAGTATCAAACCATAAGCTTAAAATTTAGGAAGAGTCTGTTTCATTCTTGTAAATTAAATAGTTTCAGACAATTTTATTTTATTTTATTGATTATGAAATCTTTAATGAATTATGGAGAAAAATGTTACTTATTATTGAGGGAAATTAGAATGAGATCCACATTGTCTACTCATTTTTATACTTGTGTTCTTCCTTAGTTTTTCTCAAGTCATTCAGCAAGCTATATACATTACTAAATAATCTGGATTTTCATTGTTTTAAACAAATTGGTGATTTGTTTATAACAGTTGCACATTGATGAGATAGAAAGGTAAAATTGGAATAACAAAGTGATGAATCAGGCCCTGCTTGAAAAAGTAATGTGAAAGTAGCTTGGAAACAACTGTGCTGTGCATGTTATGCATGAGCAAAGGATATTTGGTTTCCCAACCTAATCTATGGCACACAGAGCAGTGACCTCTTTGAGTTCCAGTCCCTGCTGCATTCAGTTCCTGACTCCTGTGGCACTGCATGTGTCCTGTTTATTTGAGATAGAAAAACATTTCAGGCACGCCCTGTGCTGCTGGCCTGGAAACGCTGCTCAGGCTGAGCTGACAGCATGGGCGGTGAGGACCTTTCCAAGTGAAATTCAGCAATCAAAGTCAGAAACAATAAATGCCTGAAGGGAATTTTCCTGTGGAATAGTGGTTTTTCTGATGTTCTCCAACATGCCCTTCTCTGAGTGGGGTCATGCCTGTGGACAGCTGATGTCTGTCTGCTTTGGCTGGCTGAGCAATTGTGATCTAGGAGAGTGGGGCAAGAGCTGCCCTCCTGCTCCCCTCCATGCAGGGCTCCTCTCCCCCCAGAGCAGCTGCTGGAGCCCTGCAGCCCATGCCAGGCAGCTGCAGGAGCGTGTTTGGCCACCAGAGATGAGTTGTGAGTGTGCTGACCCAGTCACTCTCCCAGGACCAGCCCAGGGCAGGTGTAGTACATGTGGTGGTTCCCTTCCTAGCAGATCACTGTGCTGCTGGACCATCATACCTGCTTACATCTAGGGACAGTCCTGTGTGGGGGTGGGAGAATTAGTTAATGCTCCAAAAATGTACTGTGTGCTTCTGTTTGCAAAATATTTTCCAGTGTAGTGTCACTGCTTGTGTTTTGATAAGTCTTCATGTTTTGGGCTTGGTTGTTTTTTCTCTTAATGGAAGCTTTTGTTTTTTTAGTGAGATGTTTGCAGGCAGAGCCTTTATCTGTGGGATCAGAGTCAAGCACAAGTGCAGTGTGGTACTGCAATAGTTTAGCTAGCTTGCCCTGTTTTGTACCCAAGAACAGGGTAACAATTCCTATGTTGCACGGCCCTTGTGATATCACAGCAGCTTTCAGCCTTGCAGAGCTTCTGGAAATGTGGTGTCCTGCATGAGGGAAGTCTCAAAAGCTGATCAAAGCTGCCACCTCACTGCATTTTTGTTGTGGCCTCCCTTCCTTCCCTCTGCTCTGCAGGAGGGAGGGCACCTAAACTGTCCCTTCCCAGCTCACTCACCTCCCTCCTGCTTTCTGCAGTGTCCCTTTCATGTCCTCCCCATTCCCTGCATCCAAACCCCCCATTGGTGCCCATCTTTTACCTGCCCTCCCAGAGCCCCTGCCACCCTACACACTCACCACCCCTGTGCAAACAATGCTCTGCAGGGCTGAACACTGGTGGGTGCTGCAGGTAGAGCTTCACATAGGAATTTCCTCTTCCTGAAAAGGATTTCCACTTAGATTTTTTTTATGAAGTGACAAAGATTCTTCAACAGGGCTCCCATCCATCAATATGGGACCGGTTCACCTGGAAGGTTTAAATAAAGAACTACAAAGTGCTTCTTTTGCTATGTGTTCATCATCACTGTTATGAAATATGCCTTAAGAAAGCAGTGGAGTGAAAACTTTGATCTCACTGGGGGAGTGAGAGGAGGGAAGGGCTTTTAAAGTAGCATCAATCATCTCTTCTCAGACAGTACAAACATTTGTACAGCTTAAAAGGGAAAGGCTGATGCTGCTGATGCCAGCTGAGGAATGACAGAGTGACTAGGCCTGGACTGGACTGCAGGTGGGCAGGTGTCCTTTGGGGGGTGCAGGTTTGACTTTTCAGTGCTCAGTGTGGAAACCTGGTGAGAGGTGGGTGGCAGGGGGTGGGTTGCACAGCTGCTGTTTCAGGTTTATAGTCCTGGCATTATAAAGCCATGTGTGTAACCTGTTCCTGGATCTCTCTCAGGGCCACTGTCCTTGATGCAGCTGTGCCGCCTGTGCATCAGGAGGTGCTTTGGATACCAGCAGCATCAAAAAATTACTGGACTTCTCCTCCCAGATGAGCTGAAACATTTCCTTCTCCACATTTGAGCCTTTTCATGTTTAAAACAGTGCCTTTAATAACACAACAAGGTTTGTTGACTTTTTTCATCACTAGTGTTGCCAGTGTTTGCAATGATAATTTATGGCAAGTTTTGGTCTCCAGTAATGCCCAGGTCAGAGAAGCACAGGACTGACCAACTTGCTCAGTTCTCAATGCCATCACCCCCACAAATCCATTTGGAAAGAAAAAATCCTGCATGGTTGCATAGTGAAGCTTGGAAATGTGATGTGAGAGCCCCCTTGAAAGCACAGAAAATTACATAGCAAGCATACAAGCATAACATTTTAAAATAGATCTCCCAATTCTCTGGCACCATTTCAGAGGTCTTGTGGTTGACAACCCCTTACAAAGAAAACACATATCCCAGCCCAGCAGCAGCAGCATTTCATGTGAACATGAGGCACACCAGGAGAGCTGCAGAAAGCTTTCTCACATGCCTGTCACCTGTGAGGGCTGTGCCCACAGCACCACGAGGAAGGGGAGGGAACCCAAGTGAGCCCAGCTGCCAAGCAAGGAAGGTCCTCTGGCAGAATTTATTCATTTTCTAAGGGCATCACACTGCAGACAGATAAGCACCAACCAACATTTGCATTTAGGCCAGCATCTGAAAAAAGCATTTCTGCCCTGACAGCAATAGGTCACTGCTGATGGCAGTCCCATGCAGTGCCATAATAGCGGGGCAAAAGTTTTTAATCATCCAATAAAGAAAATTATTCCTGATACTTTGAGACATAGAAGACACTTCAGAACTACCCATTTTCTCCTTGTAGCATGTTAATTTTCAAGGACACAGGCTAACAGGCTATCAGTACTAAGCTTTGAGTGCTCTTCTTTTCTGCTCTGAAAATTAGATGATATTTCCTAAGCATTTTTCAGCATGCATCAGAAAACCAACAGCTTCCACACCCCTTCTCCACCCAAGAAAATATTAAGAATGAGATAATATTTTTTTTCTGAGAGAGTTGCTACCTCATTCATAGCATTTTCCATGGGAGTGGTAATAATAATGCCTCTAATGTGTGGTCATAAAACAAACAATGAAATCAAAATCCTTTCCAAATTTAAAAGCAGTGGGCAATTACTGCACCCTGCTCAGTTGCTGGGCAGTTGACTCAGTGTATGACATATGTAGTTCTTATTCCACTGAGGTCATAAGAACAATTATTTCCAGCTAAACATTAACATTGGGCATTTTTCTTTCCCTTTCAGAAATGGGTCCTGCTGCCACAAGCCAAAGTGCAGTTGTGACCACTCTGCTCCCTTGGGTGCTCCCCTGGGGATATGAGGATGTGGGAGCAAGGATGCTGAGACTCCAGCTCTTCTTCCCATTGCCCTGTTTCCTTTTGAGCTCTAAACCAAAGTGCATCTGCATCACCTGGGAGCAGCAGCATGCCCAGCACCCTGAGGGGCTTCCATGTCACCCCTGAGCTCAAGGGGCAGCCACACACTCAGTGCTTCTGGAGATCCTTTTTCACTTTGCTGTGGAGACTCTGTAAGAGGGGGCTGGGAGTGCAAAAACTGCTGCCATCCCTAACAGCAGCAATGAGAGACACAGAGCCCTCAGCTCAGAAGAGACTGGCAGCCTTCAAGTACATGAAAGCTGATTTTGGTGTTCACCAGTGTGCCAGTGTGAGCAGTGCCAGCCTGCCTTGTGCAAGGGGAACATTAGAGAGGAGAGATCAAATGCTGCCTGGATGCTGGTATTTGATGTAAATCACAATTCAAATCCTTGTCTGCACAGCATGGCTGCTGGCTGTAGGTGTCCAGTGTGATGGTTTGATTCCTTTGTGCTGACACATCACAGTTCTGTTGGGTTTGTGGGACACTAAATTGTACCCTAATGGGACAAAATGACAAACACAGTTAGGTCTCTAACTCCTCTGGTGATAGAGACACTTGGGAATGTGTCACTTATCTGACCCAATTCATCACACATACTTGAGCCATGTGAAAATCAACTGGCTGGTTTAAGATGGCCTTCCATCTGGTTTTCCTCATGCCCAGGAAGAAGAGTAGACATCTGTCTTCACAGAGGTTAAATAAAAGCAGGTATCTGGGATGGGGAAGGTATATTCTTCTAAAATCACTGTCTTAATTAAGCTGAATCTGCATTGGACAGTCAAGGAATGGACAGTGAACCTGCTGCTTAAATTTTAGACATTAAAGTGTGCTTTGGTGACGCAGTGGAGAGCTGGAGTTCCATTTCATTATATCCTAGATGATGAAGAAATATTTGTGTATGTACTAATTTTACTTTTGCCTTTATTTTGTAACTTCAGCCAATGGGTTTATAGGAGTAATTACAATACCAGAAGAAAATTGCTCCAAGAACCAGGTGAGGGTGTTGCTTCTAGTTTGCTTTTCTTATGAAAATTTCATGGTATGACTCTTGTTTACTTGAATTTCTCTGCCCAAGTGGAATTAGAATGAATTCTGTATGCTCAGTTTGTATCATCTCTGTGTGTTTACTTATTTATTTTCATAAAAATTGTGGTCAACACTGGTGAAATACAGCTTTATGCATCAACACTTATCCAGTTATAAACTGTTGAAGTACATGATGCAAACTGAATAAGCTCTTTATAGGTGAGGTTTGGATTTTTTCTATATTTGAAACCATTCAAAATGTAATGCAGGATTTAAATGATTGTCAGGAATATATTTATTCACATTCTTTCTTATTTTTATGTAAACAGTTTAATGGTAGTTAAGTCACACAATTTTGTAGGATATTTTCTCAGAAATAAATATTTCATACTCTTTTGCTTGTTAATTTGTTTTCATTCAGTTTTTAAATGATAAGCCTAATTTTTTGGATTGACTGATAGTATGGAGTTTTGAATTCTAATGTCTTGCAATCCCACATGTCGGCAGGTAGTGAACAGAATATTTCCTTTAAATAAAACTATAGTAAATATGAGACTAAAATGCAAATACTGTACAAAACTTGCCTTTTGTTGATGTTTTAATGTAGAGCTGGCTGGACTCTTGAAATTCCTTCTTGGCTCACTTGAGGATTGAAAAAGATGAAAAAGTGAAAGAAATATGAGGTGAAAAGGAGATATAAATTACACAAAGGAAGAAAAAATGTAATTTTAGATGGTCACTGTCTTCAGTTTGGTTTTGGGTTTTTTTGAGTTTTTTTGTTTTTATTTTTAATTGATTTGCATTAATCTGTTTCTCCTGCCAGCTAAGCAAAAGGCGCATGCAATGTTCTGGTGCTGCTGTGTGTTTGTACACAGCAGGAACCCTTTGCTGGAAGTGAGGGTGGAGGTCCCAGTGTGGTCAGAAGCCCAGCAGGTGTCTGTCAGTGCCCTGGGGTACACTGCTGGCCTGGGCAGGTGTGGAGGGACACTCATTCCCTTCCATTGGATGCATCTCTGGGAGTCCCTGCCCTCAAAGACCAGCTCAAAGAGCGAGGGCAGTGCCAGCAAATTGCTTTACAAGGTGGTTTTTTTGATGGATAGAGAGCTATTATGGAAACTGTGGAACTAAAAACACCTCAACAGAAGAAATCAATGGATTTTAGTAAGACAACAATCTTTTGTTTTATTAAAATATATCTGGTGCAATAAATCTCTGCAGTTGCTAGGTGGGATCAGCCACATCCCAGGACACAGCTCTTCTTTCTGCAGTTGTGCAAAGGTCCACAGCTGTCCTGGGCATTTCTTGTTTTATATTTTCTCTTAACTGGAAACAACAGACATGCAAATCTAGCAAATGTAACATACAGCTTTGCAGCATATTCAGAGAATGTCCTGTCGCCGGTTCACTGACATGAATTCCTTTGAAGATGCCTAAGAAGGAAATCAATTTTACTTTACTAGCTTAACCAAATGGGACAGACTGGCTGAAAAATAGTAGGCTAGTGGTGAAAAAAAGAGTACTTTTATGGCTAATATGGGATATGCTCAATTCCCATCGGACTCATGTTCTTGAGAATCATGGGTCTGAGACTTGATGCTCCCGAATCTACTTTTTCTTGTTTAACAACACATGCACTGTATTTGTCAAAATGGAGGCTGCCTTGCTCTGCAGTTCCAGCCTGAATCCTGCTGGCTTTGGATAAAAATTCCCAGGAGTTATTTCCATGTATGTTGAGCAATTATTTGACCTTCCCTGACACATTGCTCAGCTCACTGCTCCAGGGGATTCTCACTTTCATGCACCAGGCAACATTTGATGCAAAACTGCTCTCTAGGATACCTAGGGGAGTCCACTGTTCTTTAAAATGACAGCAGTGAACTATTGCTGGGAAGAGAAATGTTTCAAATTCTTACATCATTCAACACAGTAATCCTTACTCCATCCCTGCCTCAGTGCTGGAGAATACCTGGCTCATGTCACCCTGCAACAAGGTCTTGTCTCTTCTGCGCCAGGTGAAGCCTTTCCTTTCTGAACTACTTCCCTTTGCACTTTTAAAGGTCTTGAAACTCATTAACCATCACTGGTTCAAGTGACACAGCACTAGATTCCTGGCTTTAGTGACTGTGAAGTAAAATTGAGTTTGTAATCTGTCAGCTCTCTCACTTCACAAATTAAACTTGGAGTCTCTGCCGAGTCTACGGCTTTTGAAATCCCTGGAGCTTTTCTTTCTGTGGGTTGTAAAATGCAGCAGTAGCAGCTCTTTGTCTCATGAAAGCACTGACTCTGAATCACAGAGGTTCATACAGACCTTGGAAAGTTGTTATGAATAGGACAAGTATAGGGTTGTCCCATTGTCATCGAGACTGCACTTTTTATTACCTTATTTTGAGGAAAGGGAGTTGCATTTTTTTTCTCTGATTAAATAATACCAGAACAGGAACAGTTGGTATTTCTGGGAATTTCTGAATGGGGCAAAGCTCCCAGCAGCTGCTTTGCTCTCCCCAGGCCTCTCTGAAGGAGCACCAACCCTGCACTTTATTCTGCTTTTTCACCCTCTGGCCGAGCATGATGACTGAGACTGACAAACTCTTTGTTCCTTCCAACTATTTATATATAATTTTTCCTACAAGTTGATAGGCAGAACATCTGCTTTTCCAAGTCTTTTCAATGAGGAGTATGGACATCCCTTTCTGAAATAACTCCATTGATATCTGCCAGTTCAGAATAGGTGACCAGTGTATTTCTGCTCCTCAGGTAATCATAATGGTGAGTACAAGGTGTGGGCATGTCCCAGCTTCACTGGGATTATTTCTATTCACTTGTCCCATAGAAAAGATGGAGCACTGCTCAGGTTCTGGAATTACCAGCTCAGTCTTTTTTCACTGACCACTATAGAGGGTGGTTTTGTCCACAGCTCCCAGTCAATTTTTCATTTGGCCAAACAACCCTAAACAAAACCTTTGCCTCATAGAGCAAAAGTTAAGAGGTAGCTTTTTCTCTTTTCCAAGCTATAATTGCATTTATTATTTCTCAGGCTAGAAAGCAAACAAACACAACCCCAAACACTTCAATCCAAGTCAAGGAAATTGCTCATTTTTCTTGCAGGAACAGAAGAAAACACATGAGGAATATTATCTACCAGTAGGGCTATTGGGACGTATTTGTTAGAGGTGCTGGAAGCAAGTTCAGATTCCCTCCTAGAATAAAATAAATTATTTCTCTATATTTGCTATCCCTGGTGCTTTGGAGATAGATCCTCCTTGTTTTCAGTGAATCTAAGCCTTCCTCTTCCAATTTATCCAGCAAGACTCTGACTTTAGTTCACTAATATTTTCTTATTGTGCCTCAGAACATGAGAGCCTAAAACCAGACTCGGATTAGGGAATCTCTGGGCAGGGACTGAAGCCATGGGTGACTGAAATAGGGTCATGGGCAGGGGCAGGGGGAGCCCCAGGGGGCTGCCATGGGGCAGTCAGTGCTGGTGGTGCCCGCAGGGCCTGGACATCTGGGTAGCCATGCAAATTCTCAGCATCCAGGACATCCATGAGCATGGCAAGAGATCTATTAATCCACCTCATCTCTTTTGTATGCCTAATTCCCTCCCTCTTTGTTCTACAAGAGTTTCCAGTTAGTTTTACCAAAGAAAAAGAAGAATTGTTTCTTAATCTCTCCTCATTGCTCCTTATAGTTGCCTCTCTCATCCCTCCCACTTAGCTTCTTTCTCCCAGACCAGACTCCCAGCCTCTTTAACCACTCCATGGACAGAGACCTAGGTGACCAAAACTCTGTGATTCTGTTTGTAAAACACACATCCCCTTAAAAAAAAAAAAAAAAAAAAAGAAAAAGAGAGAGAGAGAAGAGAGAGAGAGAGAAGCCAGAACCCGAAGCTACCTAATATGCTTCTGGCTGTTTTTGAGGTACTGGTCTGTTCTTGGTTCATGTAGTCAGACATCTTAGTCCAAAAGAAATACCTAGTGCAAGCACCCTGAGCTCAGTTCCTGAAGGCATTTTGCATGTGCTCTCTGCTTTCAGTTACCTCATTCCATAAATTTATTGTAGTTGTCTGGAATGCCTGTCGTGTGTTCAAGGGGGACAGCTACATGCAAAGCTCCAACAAAGGACATAGTGCAGAGAGCTCTTCTTTTCTTGAGATGTGAAAAAAGGGCTGTGCCAATCCCTGTGCACAGTCTGGACTTTTTGTCTGTTACTGTGTGTGCCTGGACAGCTGAGCAGTGAACAGGCAAGGCATTTCTTGTAAGCATGACAAAGAAAAAGCCCCAAAACCCTATGAACCAGGACTGAAAGACAGAACATTGAGATGGGATAGGAGTAACCGGACACATTTCTGGCTTGGATGACAGGTTGGGATCTGCTGTCTCACCCTGCCACAGCAGCTCCTTTCCCAGCACTGGCCCGGGCTCAGGAGCCCCCCTGGGGGAGGGAGGGCAGGGGCAGAGAAGTGGTTGCTGCCCTGGGCACTGCCAGCCCCATCCTGCTTTGGGACTGCCAGCCCTGCCCTGGGCACTGCCAGCCCTGCCCTGCTTTGGGCACTGCCAGCCCAGCCCTGGGCACTGCCAGCCCTGCCCTGGGCACTGCCAGCCCTGCCCTGCTTTGGGCACTGCCAGCACCGCCTTGGGCACTGCCAGCCCTGCCCCGGGCACTGCCAGCCCTGCCTTGGGCACTGCCAGCCCAACCCTGGGCACTGCCAGCCCTGCCCTGCCTTGGGCACTGCCAGCCTTGCCCTGCCCTGGGCACTGCCAGCCCTGCCCTGGGCTCTGCCCTGCCCTGCCCTGGGCACTGCCAGCCCTGCCTTGGGCACTGCCAGCCCTGCCCTGGGCACTGCCAGCCCTGCCTTGGGCACTGCCAGCCCTGCCCCGGGCACTGCCAGCCCTGCCCTGGGCTCTGCCCTGCCCTGCCTTGGGCACTGCCAGCCCTGCCCTGGGCACTGCCAGCCCTGCCCTGCTTTGGGCACTTCCCTGCCCTGCCCTGGGCACTGCCAGCCCTGCCCTGGACACTGCCCTGCCCTGCCCTGGGCACTGCCAGCCCTGCCCTGGGCACTGCCAGCCCCACCTTTCCTTGCTCCCAGACAGTGCCAGGCTTGGCCAGCAGATGGTATCACTGGCACACAGCTCTGCAGAAGAGCCAGAGAATAATCTGTGAGAAAATCGAGCTAGAAAAGATGTGCTGCTGGGAATGAATGCAACCTCAGGCTCACACAGATCACGGAATCTCCCATCATTGCCATTTCTGCATCCTAGCTGTGCAACTTTTCTTTTTTACTGTCCTACTTATGACCAACCTTTCTACATCTACTTAATGCTTGTCATTCTTTTTGGGGGGCTTTTTGTTTTGTTTTGTTTTGTTTTGTTTGGTTGTTTTGTTTGTTTTTTTTTTCTGGTTTCCTTT